GCATGATCCCTCCTGGGCCAAATTTGGGTCTATTACACAATGTATAATGCATGAAAAGTTGTCATGCGTACAAAATGTCAGCTGCTATGTGGTTTCAATTGTTCTTTTTATGATTGAAAAATAAAATGTTATGTTTTAGGAAAAACTTTGGTAGGTATCACTGTGCGGTATATATATTTGCATACACTGCTCAAAAAAATTAAAGGAACACTTTTTAATCAGAGTACAGCATCAAGTCAATTAAACTCCTTGGATATTGATCTGGTCAGTTAAGTAGCAGAGGGGGTTGTTAACCAGTTTCAGCTGCTTTGGTGTTAATGTAACTAACAGGTGCACTAGATAGGCAACAATGAGATCACCCCCAAAGCAGGAATGGTTTTACAGGTGAAGGCCATAGACGTTTTTTCCCTACTCCTCTTTTCTGACTGTTTTTCACTTGGTTTGCATTTGGTTAGGGTAAGTGTCACTACTGGTAGCATGAGGCAATACCTGGACCTTACAGAGGTTGCACAGACAGTCCAACTCCTCCAGGATTGCAAATCAATATGTGCCATTGCCAGAAGGTTTGTGCAAGGAGGAACAGGAGGAGCACTGCCACAGCCCTACAAAATTACCTCCAGCAGGCCACACTGGTGTGAATGTCTCTGGCCAAACAATCAGAAACACACTTCATGAGGGTGGCCTGAGGGCGGCCAGAAATCCTCCAGCGGGCCTTATGCTCACTGCCTGCTGCACCATAGGGCTTGATTTTCATTTGCAATTGAACACCAGAATTGGCAGCTTTTCACAGATGAGAGCAGGTTCACCCTGAGCACGTGACAGGCATGAAAGGGTCTGGAGAAGTCATGGAGAATGTTGTGCTGCCTGTAACATCATTCAGCATGACTGTTTTGGTGGTGGGTCAGTGATGGTCTGGGGAGGCATATCCATGGAGGGACACACAGACCTCTACAGGCTAGATAATGGCACCCTGACTGTCATTAGGTATCAGGAAGAAATCCTTGGACCCATTGTCAGACCCTACGCTTGTGCAGTGGGTCCTGGGTTCTTCCCTTGCACGAGGATGAAGGAATTGATACCACTGAATGGCCCCCACACTCGCCTGACCTAACTCCAATAGAACATCTCTAGGATATCATATTTTGCTCTATTTGCCGTCACCAGGTTGTACCTCAGACTGTCCAGGAGCTCAATGATGCCCTGGTCCACATCTGGGAGGAAATACCCCAGGACACCATCCCTTGTCTCATTAGGAGCATGCCCCAATGTTGTCAGGCATGCATTCAAGCATGTGGGGGCCATACAAACTGCTGAGTACCATTTTGAGTTGCTGCAATGAAATTTCGGCAAAATGGACTAGCCTGCTGCATCATTTTTTCACTTTTCTTTTCAGGGTGTCTTTGACTTCAGTCCTCTGTAAGTTGATAATTTTCATTTCCATCAAATGAAGGGGGATTCTTACGTTCCTAACACATTACCCAGTCCTTATAAGTATAGATATCCAGCATGATATTTTCCCCATTGAGATCTGATGTGTTTTCAAAGTGTTCCTTTAATTTTTTTGAGCAGTGTATATAGATGTTGGCAAAACAATTCTTTTAGTCCTTGTATCTCCAAGTCATAGACTTCCTAAAGGGCTTCTCTGATACCAGAATACTTCATTAGGAGTTACAAATGCTGTTATTATCTTGGCTGACTTGGAGAAGGGAATCTGCCAATATCCTTAAAGTGTTACTAAAACCCACAACAGTAAAATCAATCTGTATATGAAGTAAAGCATGCTTGTTCTATTCATTGTGGAAGGGTCAGGGGCTATGCAGCCTCATAGTACAATCAGGGGAGAATGAAAACTCCTCTTACAAGTGTTCGACCGGACACTGATAGAAGTCGCAAGACTGCTATATACTGCTGTTGAGAAAAGGTATTTAGCAGTTTATATTCACTAAAATAATTGTACTTCCATGTTCTGTGGGAGACCAGATATAGTGAATGCAGACTCCTGGGTTTAGTAACACTTTAAGTAGGGTCCAACGTCTTCATATATTGGGCTGTTCCCAAGTGACGAATTAATTTGTCTTTGTAAGGCAAGGGATAGGTGTCAAACTTAGTGATCTGATTCAACTTTCAAAGATAGTTGCAAAATTGTCTACTCCCATCTGCTTTGGCCACTAATACATTGGGGCTGACTAATCATTATTCTGTCACTTCTATCTGGCTTTTGGAATCTGAAAAGGTTTCAAATTTATACTTTCCCTTGGATGAGTGACAATGTCATGTTTGGTTGTGGAGGTCTGTCCTCTTTAGCTTCCTGTTGCTGGGCTTTCACCAAAGTACCAGTGATCCTGACTTCAGGAAACAAAGAATCAGACTGATCAGGAAACGTTGAAGTCTCAGCAACTAAGGATTCCCTGTCCTTCCATGGTTCTAACAAATTTACATGTTATATCTTCTCTGATTTCCATCTTTCTGGTTGGTGGATGAATGTTTTTCAGTATAACATTTCCAGACCAATTGCCAGGTAATGGGGATCAAAACAGTTCCCATTTCCTTTAATTATTAGTTTCTTTATGAGCATAATTTATTAAACAAGTACTAAGATTTGTTAGGACTTTAATTCCTTTTATTAGAGTCCCAAATTGCACGTTATACTATATGAGTGGACCAGAGACAATATTTGTGATTATATGTTAAAGCATTTTGCCTTCCAAGGCTTGAATTAAATACAATAAATGTTGGTAATACATTTATTTAAAGAGGGTGAAGTACTAATACATACGGGGGCTTAATGCCTTCCTCTTCAAAACATATGCAGCTGAGCTATGAGATTTGTTTCCTAGGAACTGCTAGCCCAAGCAATTTCATATGCTCACATTAAGGCTGATGAGCCAAGTTAAGAAATTTCAAGGGACAACAGAAAAAAAGTAGCACTATTCTGCTGCAGAACTTTAAAATGGGCTTTTTTATATGAAGATTATATTACTGCATAGAAGCATTACAACAATACTTCTGAGTTTTACAAATGTGACTAACTGGCTATTAGTTTTTACACGAGTCATTCTAGAGGAAACAATATGTTTAACCACTTCAATGGACACTCTCACCTCCTTCTTGCCCAGTAGTGATATCCTTGATGTTCAAGTTCGACTTGAACATAGGCCATTAGTGTGTTCGGCGAACACGTGAATGGTAAGGGCATTCAGCGGACTGCTCATCTGCCACACCCCACAGTACACTGCTCACTGACAGTGTGTTGTGATTGGCCAAAGCAATGCACCTGACCACAGGTCAGATGCAATGCTTTGGCCAATCACAGCACAACTGGGTGGAGCTAGCGGTGATGTCAACGCTAGCTCTGCTTAATTGTTTACATATGACCGGCAAATGTCAAATAGTGGCGGGTGCTCGGAGGGTGCGCACGGGTCAGCAGGCATCAGGTTTTTTTATTTCGATGAGTCGGCATCATCATGACAATGCAGATTGCCGTGATTGATGATGGATTACAACAATGGAACTTTTTTTTGGCTTTTTTTTAATAAATAATTTATAATTTCTTTTAAATAAAAGTCTTTTCAAAAACTGCTGTGTTTTTATTCAATTTTTGTGCTTTTTTGCTGAATGGGTAGGGGTTCTAAGTACCCCATACTCATTCACAAGGGGAGAGGGATCTGGGGCACCCTGGTTAAAGGGGGCTTCCAGATTCCGATAAGTCAATCCCCACAGACCCCACAACCACAGCCAAGGGTTGTGGGGTAGAGACACTTGACCCCATCAACTTGGGGACAAGGTGCTGGGGGGAGAGCCCACCTATGCCAAAGCACCCCCTTCATGTTAAGGGCATGTGGCCTGGTACAGTTTATGAGGGGGGAGCACTTGCACAGTCCCCCCTTTCCTGGCCTGCCAGCCCTGGGCTCAGGATCAAGGGTCTGATAGGAACTCCATGCTTCCCCCCCATTTTTGGCAGGTGGGGTTCCCCTTTAAAGTCCCACGCACTTTTAAAAAAAAAGGTTTTACTGTGGGGTCCCTCCTAACCTTCCTACCAGACCTAAAGGGTCTGGTATGGATTAGAGGGGGGACCCACACAGTTTTTTTTAACCACTTCTCGACCATCCTATAGCAGAAATACTACTACAGGGCGGCATGGTTACGCAAAATCACGTGTATACAGTATCTCATAGAAGTGATTACACCCATCACATTTTGGTAAATATTTTATTATATCTTTTCATGTGACAACACTGAAGAAATGACACTTTGCTGTCCCCTCAAAATAACTCAACACACAGCCATTAATGTCTAAAGAGCTGGCAACAAAAGCGAGTACACCTCTAAGTGAAAATGTCCAAATTTGGCCCAAAGTGTCAACATTTTGTGTGGCCACCATTATTTTCCAGCACTGCTTTAACCCTCTTGGGCATGGAGTTCACCAGAGCTTCACAGGTTGCCACTGGAGTCCTCTTCCACTCCTCCATGATGACATCACGGAGCTGGTGGATGTTAGAGACCTTGTGCTCCTCTACCTTCTGTTTGAGGATGCCCCACAGATGCTCAATAGGGTTTAGGTCTGGAGACATGCTTGACCAGTCCAACACCTTTACCCTCAGCTTCTTTAGCAAGGCAGTGGTCGTCTTGGAGGTGTGTTTGGGTTCGTTATCATGTTGGATTACTACTCTGCGGCCCAGTCTCCGAAGGGAGAGGATCATGCTCTGCTTCAGTATGTCACAGTACATACAGTTGGCACATGGTTCTCTCAATGATATGTAGCTCCCCAGTGCTGGCAGCACTCATGCAGCCCCAGACCATGACACTCCCACCACCATGCTTGACTGTAGGCAAGACACACTTGTCTTTGTACTCCTCACCTGGTTGCCGCCACACACGCTTGAGACCATCTGAACCAAATACGTTTATCTTGGTCTCATTAGACCACAGGACATGGTTCCAGTAATCCATGTCCTTAGTCTGCTTCTCTTTAGCAAATTGTTTGCAGGCTTTCTTGTGCATCATCTTTAGAAGAGGCTTCCTTCTGGGATGACAGCCATCCAGACCAATTTGATGCAGTGTGCGGCATATGGTCTGAGCACTGACAGGCTGACCCCCCCACCCCTTCAACCTCTGCAGCAATGCTGGCAGCACTCATATGTCTATTTCCCAAAGACAACCTCTGGATATGATGCTGAGCAGGTGCACTCAACTTCTTTGGTCAACCATGGCGAGGCCTGTTCTGAGTGGAACCTGTCCTGTTAAACCACTGTATGGTCTTGGCCACCGTGCTGCAGCTCAGTTTCAGGATCTTGGCAATCTTCTTATAGCCTAGGCCATCTTTATGTAGAGCAACAATTCTTTTTTTCAGATCCTCAGTGTAAGGGAATTCCCATGAGACGGCTGGCGAATAGACGTGCGCACATGCACAGAAATGCGCGATTGCGCACACGCACGTGAGTGTGCACGGCGAAGATTGGTGCCACATGGACTATTTAAAAGGTGCCTCTGCCTGTGCTGAGTGCTGACTGGTCTTCAGCTGTTTCCCATTACCTGCTCGTTTCCTGTGTGATTTCCTTGTTGCTGACCCGACTTGTTCCTGACCTGACTCTGATTACTCTCCTGCTTGATACTGGTTCCTGACTTCGGCTCTACTCCTGACTTTGGCTTGCTTCTTATTTGGTACCTCGCTGTCCGCCTGTTGATGACCCTGGCTATTCCTTTGACACTGCTCCTGTCTCCCATCCCAGCTTCCTGCCTTGCTCTGGTGGACACCTGGTGATCTACCATACCAGCTCTGCATATTACTACTGTGCCTGAGTCGGAGGTTCATAAGTCTTCCAAGGTCACCAACCACAAGAGCTGCAAACAATATCTATGGGCGCTCTTGTCCCCCTGGTCCCTAGACACCTTCTGTTCCACCTCCAGTGGGGTCAGGGCTAGTGACACAAGTGAGGCTGATCTCGTCATTTCAGTCTCCTATCAGGTACCTGACACTCAGAGAGTTCTTTGCCATAAGGTGCCATGTTGAACTTCCAGTGACCAGTATGAGAGAGTGAGAGCCCTAATCACTGTATTGGTGTCAATAGGGATGTCAGTGACACCAAGTCAGTTCCCCCCAGTGTCAGAATGTTCGCCGCAGTCCCGGGGACCCGCAGTCCCACTATCAGTCACTGATTGCCGCCATCACTAGTAAAAATAATACTTTAAAAAAAATCCCAGTATATATACTGCCATTTGTAAATGCTTTCACATAAACCAATTAATTTACACGTATTGGGATTTTTTTTTAACAAAGACGTGTAGCAGAATACATTTTGGCCTAAATTTATGATGAAATTTGATTTTTTTAAATTTTTTAACTGGACATGTTTAGTAGCTAAAAGTCAAAAATATATATTTTTTTCTCAAAATTGTTGGTGTTTTCTTTTTTTTTTATAGCGCAAAAAATAAAAAACCGCACAGGCAATCAAATGCCACTTAATTTGGGTGCAGAATTGCATGACCGCGCAATTGTCAGTTAAAATAACACAGTGGCATAATGCAAAAAAATGGCCTGGTCAGGAAGGGGGGGGGGGGGGTCCTCAGGAGGGCAAGTGGTTAAATAAAAATGTAATTTGTAAAAAAAAAAATGTCAATACTGCTGCAGCAGGTTCTATACATTGTACAGATTCTTTTTACTTTAAGAAATGAAAAATAACTCCCCCTTTAAAAACTGTACTTTTTGAAAAAAAAATTTCACTGATTCATATCCCTCAGGGCAGTACCCAAGTCCCCATGCCCCTTCTGTGGTCAATAACTTGCATATATCCCTTCAAAATGGGCACTTTGAACTTAAAGCAAGTCCATAGGACTCAAACTTGTAAATTCAAAAGTTCGCAGTTGAACTTTCGTTTGGTTAGAATGTTCGACTGCGAACTGAACAGGGGGTTGTTTGGCCCATCACTACTGCCCAGGTCGATTTTCAGTTTTCAGCCTTGTCACACTTTGAATGACAATTATTGTACCCAAATTAAATTTCGTTTGGTGGTATTTAATCATCACTGGGATTTTATTATATGCTAAATAAACAAAAGACTGATAATTTTGAATAAAAAATGTGTTTTTCTTAGTTTCTGTTATAAAATCTTGCAAATAAGTAATCTTTCTTCATAAATTTAGTCCAAAATGTATACTGCTACATTTTTTTGGTAAAAATAACCCAAATCAGTGGATATTATTTAGTTTGTATGAAAGGTATAAGAGTTATACAAACTATGGTGTATATATATATTTGAAAATCAATCAGTCCTGATGTGCTGATGACCTATCTCATTTCCTCAGGCTCAAAAATGCCAGGACAGTACAAATACTCCCGAACTGACTGCTTTTTGGAAAGTAGATAGTATTTAGCAAGGGGTATGGTCAGTGTTTTGAAGTTAATTTTTTTGTCACATTTTTTTTGAAAATGAAGAATATTAAAAAAATTGTTTATTTTCACAATTTCATTTTTAACATACTGTCACCAATGCAGTACAGTGTCATAAAATAACTGGTGTTGCAGTGATCAGGGACACTGACTGACAACAGTATTTTAAAAAAAAATGTTTTTTTTTTTTCAAATTTTTTAAACATTTTTCTTTTTTTATTACAATTTTCTTTTACATTTTTTACATACTGTGTGACCATACATACAGTATTACCATAGTGACACTGTATTATTCTGGGTAGGTGATCAGGAATTTTACACAATAAGATTGCCTATAACAGTGATAATCACTGTTATAAGCAACCGTGTTTTATGAATGACATCCATTCATCCAGTGTGTACTATTATGAAGCTGTGATTGGTCACAGCTATCACATGGTACAGATGCACCGTGATTGGCCCTGTACTGTATGTACCAAGTGATCACTGTGACCAATCACAGAGATCAACACAAAAATACACAATAAAAATGGCTATGAATATAAGCCATTCATTGTGTACAATTGCCATGTGATCTGCTGTGATTGGTCGCAATGATCACATGGTACCAGCAGCAGCCTGGTACACTGATCTGTCATTTGCTGTGTTCGCTGGACACAGCGAGTGACAGACCGCGCTGCAGCGTGGTCCATGGGGTGTGCGATCCTGCAAGGACATCATATGAAGTCCAGCTAGGATGGCAGTGCTCCCGCTTGGCTGTCATATTATTATAGGCTGGAATGAAAGTGGTTAAAGTGTTTGCAAACCCCTATATATACCCACTGGAGTGAGCAGCTCCAAGTGATATACAGAGCTGAAAAGCAGGGGGCATGGACCTGATGTCACATTCTGTACAGCACAGAGAAGAGAGCTGATTGTAATCTGAGACCTAAGTGGAGGAATGAACATCTCTCCTACATGGTGCCATAGGAAAACATGCAAAGCTGAGGTTGTCATTTATCTGCTGGGGGAAGGGGAGCATATCCTAGGATTGTCTGGTGTCAACATTGACTCTTAGAAGTGCAGATATCAGAGGAATGACAGAGCAAACATAAATCACAGTAGGTGCTATGGATTTTGGCAAGTAAACTCTATAAATAGATATGCTTTCTTCATTTTTCTCAGAGATTTACAACCACTTTAAGGTTTATTATATAATAAATAGAAGCCTTTTCTATTGTCTTTTCTGACCAAGCCATCCCAAAGTGCTCATCTCTCACTTAACTAGTCCATGGCATCTTTGAATCTACACCTCTTGGTTCAAAATTAAAATGCATTCTGAGTCTTTCAATTCCTGTAACATGAGACAATCCAGGAAACCTCTTATACCATCAAGCACTGTCTTACTGCATCAAATAAATTTCACTTTCAGGCCCCTTTCACATCTAGTGTAGTGGGAGCACATGTTCTTTGGCATGTGTTTCCCATGACATGCATAGGGCAGCCTATTGATTTCAATGCATACAGCCCTGGCCAAAAGTTTTGAGAATGACACAAATATGAATTAACACAAAGTTTGCTGCCTTGGTTTTTATCATGGCAATTTGCATATACTCCAGAATGCAATTAATTGCAATTCATCTGATCACTCTTAATAACAAAGTTCATCTTTGCCATGAAAACTAACTTAATTCCAAAAAAAACATTTCCACTGCATTTAAGCCCTGCCACAAAAGGACCAGCTGACATCATGACAGTGATTCTCTTGTTGACACACAGGAGTGAATAACAGGTAGAATAACAGACTGGAAGCTTTGAAAGGAGGGTGGTGCTTAAAATAATTGTTCTTCCTCTGTTAACCATGGTTGCCTGCAAGGAAACACGTGCAGTCATCATTGTTTTGCACAAAAAGGGATGCACAGGCATCTTGCTGCTAAGATTACACCTAAATCAACCATTTATTGGATCATCAAGAACTTCAAGGAGAGAGGTTCAATTGTTGTGAAGAAGGCTTCAATTCACCCAAGAAATTCAAGTAAGTGACAGGACCATCCTAAAGTTGATTCAGCTGCAGGATCGGGGCACAACCAGTCCAGAGCTTTCTCTTGAATGGCAGCAGGCACGTGTGAATGCATCTGCATGCACAGTGAAGCGACTTTTGGAGGATAGTCTGGTGCCAATAAGGGCAGCAAAGAAGCCATTTCTCTCCATGAAAAAAGGTACAGGGATTGGACTGCTGAGGACTGGGGTAAATTCATTTTCTCTGATGAAACCTATTTCCGATTGGGACATTCAGAAAAAACCTTTTCAGGAGAAGAAAAGGTGAGCACTACCATCAGTCGTGTGTCATGCCAACAGTAAAGCATCCTGAGACCATTCATGTGTGGGGTTGCTTCTCAGCCAAGGGAGTGGGCTCACTCATGAACACAGGCATGAATAAAGAATGATACAAAAACATCCTCCAAGAGTAACTTCTCCCAACCATCCAAGGACAGTGTGGTAATGTGCAATGCCTTTTCCAGCATGATGGAGCAGCTTGCCATAAGGCTAAAGTGATAACTAAGTGACTTGGGGGAAAAAACATCAAAACTTTGGGTCCATGGTCAGGAAACTCCCCATACCTTAATCCCATTGAGAACCTGTGGTCAATCCTCAACAGACAGGTGAACAAAAAATCCCCCACAAATTCTGACAAACTTCAAGCATTGATTATGCAAGAATGGGCAGGGTGTGACCCAGAAGATGATTGACAGCATGCCAGGGCAAATTGCAGAGGTCTTGAAAAAGAAGGGTCAACACTACAAATACTGACTTTTAGCATTGTCAATAAAAACCTTTGACACTTATGAAATACTTGTAATTATACTTCAGTATGCCATAGTAACATCTGATTAAAAAAATCTTAAAACACTGAAGCAGCAGACTTTGTGAAAATTAATATTTGTCTCATTCTCAAAACTTTTGACCACAGCTATAGGCACTGAACTGCCCTAAGCACAAAAAAATTTGGCAAAGTAGCTCATGGGGCATTTAGTGTGATGCGGTTGCATGTTTTTTACTACATGTTTTGATGAGTTTGTAGAAGATTGTATAATCCAGATCATATAGTGTATCGTGAACTTTATAGACTTTCAGGGATACACTTCTGTTTGTAATACTACAGCTCTGCTCCACATAGGCTGTTATGTGATTGCTCAGCTCCTGCACACTCTGCCAGATGAACGATCTTTGCAGGAAGAAGGTAAAGCATGTAATTGCAGAAGTGGGTGGCAGCAATATCCTGGAATGGGAAAGGCAGATGCAGGGTGTGTGTTAATGAGGCCAGTGCTGAGGTACTTCCTTCTAATGGTTTTTCTTTCCCAAATACCAGAATGAATACAGGAAGTAATAGAGGAGTTTTCTATAAAATAACCTAGAAGCTATGTTAAGGGCTGTCCTAAAATATAGAGAAAGCATTTTCTTTTCTGCAGCAGAGGTACTTTAATAATATATTTGGTACATAGGTACAAAAGGTGAATTTAGCCTTTTAGTAAGTTCTGAAATACAGCTAGCTTAGAATCACTTATTAGGGGAGAATTAAATGATTTCCGCTAAATGGATTTAGCTGCAAAATTACTGATTTCAATGTTTGGAAACAATCTTAGGCAAAATGTATTAAATTATTACTCTTTTTTGTTTAGAGGTT